GTATCCGAAACTTAACCTTATTGGCCGAATTTTTCAGAACTTTTCGCACTAGTGGGGCCCACGTCCATAATCTATCCGTAATTTTTCAAAAACTACCCAATGCTAGAAAAATCATCTAAAAACTATAATTACCCCTAAAATCCACCAAGAAAATTTTCTAAGCCAGAAAAAATGCAGAAAACATGCAATTAAAGGGGAAAAACCCTAGGAAAATTATTAGGGAAAATATGGGTTCTCACATTTATGCCATAAGTAAAATCTACATCCCTAGAGTCTTTCTTGAGTGAAATTTCTCCATTTACATTTAGCATTTATTAAACTAGATTTGTATATCAGATTTGTAGACTATAGCAATATACTTTCTCTGCTCTAATTTATTGTAAGTCTAAATAATAGAGAAAAATAAGGGTCTAGTACTTGTTTAATTTGCTCCTCATGGGATCGACCCGATACATACCTTACATTATGATTTCGGCCTGTATACTTGCAGTCAACGGGTATAAAATCGGATTTAAACTTACATTGATATAAAAATTCCGTCAAGTTTTTAGCTCCGTTGCCGGAGAGCGGCAATATTAGGGCCTAATCATCTCTATTAATTTAGATATTTCCATTATTTTTATCCAAGTTGTTTATAGTTGATTTTAATAATAAAAATTACAAAATTTCTCTTGTTTTTATTTGTAGTGTATGCACCGATCAAATCGAGAAGTTGCACTTTTCGATCCTGAAATTGAGAGGACACTAAGGAGACAAAGGAGGAATACACCATATCAAAAGGAACAATAGGTTTGGCAACCGATAGAGGAAATCTTGATAGAGTTACCATTTGAGAAAGAAATGATGGAAAATGACCCAAATAGGCGAATTCTACGAAATTTTGCTTTATCGAGAACACAAGGTTCTCAAACTAGCATTGTAAAGTCAACGGTAAACGCTAATAATTTTGAGATTAAACTATCACTGATTCAAATGGTACAACAATCTCAATAAAATGAATATTTTATCAATATTGAATAAAAAAAGAATCAACAAAACAAAGAAAATTCATACAACATGAATTGTTTGATTATAGAATATTAGATCAAGTTTGTAAATTGGAGCTAAATACTCTCGGTAATTTTTTTTTTTTTATACAAAGATGAAAATTTTACTTAAGATTCACTAACAAATTTAAAAAGAAATTAAAAGTTTACAGGAAAAATATGTTTGGTCAACATAGTATGAGAATACATAAGAATACAAAATCTTGTATACAAATAATATCAATTGTTCTTGTAAAAAAAAAAAGAGCATATTACTTGGACAAAGATAAACATATTAGTTGTCACTACTTTGGAGCAAATGAAAATGAAAGTCCAATGTTTTGAGTTTTGATCATCAGACCATGGTCACCATGCAACCATGTAGTCTAGTATTAAGGCAATAGTCTAGTATTAAGGCAAAATTTAAACTTCAAAAACATTAGTACAATTCCAACTCCAAATGCAATACATCTATTATTTGGTAAAATGTAACTATTCACAATAGAATTCATAATCATGCTAAACAAACTTCAATGAAATCCTAGTCAAATAATTTTTAAAATTTTTTCTTTTAACTTTTGACCAATATAAACACATGCCTGATGTATTGAAAGATCAATTAAATCATTGTAACTACTAAACTTACCTATTCAAACAATATACTTGCCAGTTCCAAACCTGTGATTTAAAACTTGTGATTTAGGGGTTGGGTTTAAGAAAAGAAGTATGGCCGTAGGGTGTAAGGTTTGGAATTTAGAGAAAGACAATTAGATAAATGCGTTGGAGGAGGATAAATAAGCCATCTTGCATTACATTGATAATTTATTAGTTTGGTTTGTGGGTTTGTAGTTTTTAGAAATTACCAAAATTGCCTCTATAATTTGTAATATTCTAAAAAAACTATTTTTTATTCAGTTAATGTGTCAACCTACAGGTTGACCTAACCTGACCCATTTTTAGTCGTGTCATGAATAGGTTAACCCAATAATAACTCACTTGAATTTGGGTCGTATTAATACCTACTAATTTCAGGTCGTGTTTGAGTCGTGCTATTCTGTCGTACTAGAAATTGCCACTCCTACTCCCCCCAAATCAACTTAATTTACTAGTAGTATATATTCCTTATTTTTTAAGGGATATTTAATTAAGCTATTTAATTATGTCTAAAAAAAGGATAGAACTCATAAGTCATTAGTAATAGTGCAAAACAATAGCATGCATAGACTATAGTACTATATTTGACACTAACTATGCAAAAGAAAGGAAGTATATGAGATATTAGTTGCATGAAACAAATACAATTAAAATAAATAAGTTTAATTAGAATTTTTATTACCCATTTAATATAATTTCATTTTAGTTCGCATCTTATTTCATCCTAAAATTCTTAACGTTAGTATTTAAAATTAAAATTCGAGGGAATATAGTGATTCAAAATGAAAGCATTGAGAACCAAAAGTGCAAAGTCAAAATTGTTAACTAACAGCAATTTATGTTGACCGTTTGTGATTTTGAATTTTCATTAATTACTCTAAATGTGCCTAAAATCAGAAATTTGGGGTCTAGATTTATTTTGAAAAAAATATTAGGGACCTGTTTAGTGCACGGGATGAAAATTGCAATTATCACATTAAAGAATACATCAATTTTTTTAGTCCGAACGAAACATGATTATAGAGGTGACAATTTTCATCCATATCTATTTAACCGTCCATATTCACCTCACCTAAATGGTTTTGGATTAGGAAAAATGACCAGTTTCATCCCTTACATTTTACAAAAATATTCTATTCGTCCCTCATTTTTAAAGTGAAGCAAATTCATCATTGAAATTTAAAAACTTAAACTATTACATTTCTGAAGTCAACTTTCAATCTAATTCAAACCACCCAGCAACGTGATTACAAAATTTTGGGGTATGATCGGTAGATTATTTGGTTAACTCAATTTGATATTCACGGAAAATTTAATGAACCAAAAAAGAAAAAGAAAAAAGAAAAAAATTATAACATAACAAAGAAGGATTAATTTTTCTTATATTGTCATTGTATATACTGATGGTTCTAGATACTTGATATATTATTTCAATTTAAATTTAAATATCAAACTTTATATGTATTGTATACATCTAGATTTGCAAATGTGTATACTAACGATGCATGAAAAGATTTATCCAAAAAAGAAGCATTACTATTTTGAAACAAAGAATGACCTTTTTATGTTATAATTTTTTAAATTTTTTTCTTTTTTGGTTCAATAAATGTCATATGAATGTAATGGGGTTGACTGAGTGATCTATCAATTCTATCCCTGAATTTATTACTGGGTTATTGAATGGTTTGATTTAGATTGAAAGTTGGCTTCAGGGATATTATAGCTTCCATTTTTAAATGTTAAGAACTAATTTTTTTCGTTTTAAAAGCGATGGACAAAAAGAATATTTTTTGTGAAATATTAACGATCAAATAAGTTATTCCTTTTGGATTACTAAACAAAATTTATATGGACATCCAAGCAAAATCAATTGGTTTGATGATTTTAAGTGGATAATCCACATAATCCATCTAAATCCATTTAAGAAAGTAACGAGAAAACCCAATTACTTGCTGCTTGACAGAAAACTAATATCAGACTCACAAATTTTTCTCATCCAAAAATTCAATGAAAGTCAAACATCCCCACACAGATTCCAATGTTTTCCTTTCACCACTGATCATTCTCCAATTCTAAGCCAGGTTGGCGATCTAGCCCAACATGATGCTATCGCAAATTCTTCCGTTCACTTTCTCCGGCTTTATCGCAAATTCTTCCGTGAACATTTTGATCCCGACATGAAAATCATCCCTTTTTCTCCCGAAATTTTGGCAAAGTAGGCGCTGGAATAGATGAGCCTTTTTTCCTACTGGCAGTGATTGGGTTAACTGCAATTGCCACAACAAAACCCCATTTGATGACTTTTGTTCTCCTTAGGAGGATATCATCTTCCTACTTCAGTACTTTGATGCCTTTGCAGAATTCTGCTTTAGGTTCCATTTGATAAAACTGAATCTGAATTCTGAAGTTTGAATTCTAAAATCTGAATACTGAAACAATTAATTTGCTGAATTTTAAGTACTGAAAAAAAAATATGAATGTCTGAATTTTAATGCTAAATCTATTTATACTGTTTGATAAATATTATAACTGAATGCTTAATAAGTTTAATTTGACAATTTAGCTCTTATATCCTTTCATTCAAAAAATAAATAGAATTTATGATTTAATTAGTTTAAAATTGTTAGGTATGAAAATGATAATATTTATTTTTAAATCAAATTAATATAAAATATGAAATATATTATATGAGGAGTATGGAGAATATGTGAAAGTGATTAAAAATGGAGAAAAGAGAAACTAAAAATCGTTAAATAGAGAATATTATGTTATTTAATTAGATAAGAATTTTGAACATAATTAACAAATAAGGGTAGATTTGATAGATAATATAAGGTAGCTGAAGTAATTCTATTGATTCTTATCAGAATTAAGCATTCAGTTAGGATTCTTGTGCTGAAAAAAATACATACAGATTCAGCACTGCTTAACAAGTTCAGCAAATAGATTTTCATTTATCAAACACTCAAAACATCTGAATATCTGAAAAAATTCAGATTCAGCACTTTTTTATGTTATTAAACAGACCCTTAGATTGTCTAAATAGTTGGTCTAAATAGTTTGAACTTTGAAAATGAATGGCACCGCTGGTTCCAAGTTTCAAAGCTGGTCTTTCCCCCCCTTTTTGATAAACAAGCCAGCAAAGAGTGTCCTAGTCTCTTTCATACCAAAAAAAAAAAAAAAAAAAAAAAAAATTGTCCTAGTAAAGTGGGTGACGTGGCTAATTTAGAATGGCAGGTCCATGGGTGGGTTCATAGACCGAGTATTTGCCAATAATCTACCAACTTTTCAGGAGCCCGCCATTCAAGATTCAACTCTCTGTCCTGGTCTCATAGTACAGTGCTTGATCGAATCTAGAGGGAACAGGCAGGGACTTGCCAGAACAACCACCGTCCCTAAATAGTCCGTAACATTTTTTTTTAATATTTTATAATTTTATATAAATTTTTTGTACATCTAATTTTTAGATTTGATATTTTATTATTATTCATATAAGTTGCATACATAATAATTGTATTTTTATTACTAAGTTTTATAAATAATTCACTTAAAATTTACATTTTATTCGAAAAATATTGTTCAGAATTGTTGCCTCTAATAACTGTCCGTGCTCTTGTTCCGAATTCAGAAGGCCTTAATAGTTGGAGCAAACCTTTAACAAAACATTGGTTATTTTTAGCGAAGGATAACGTCTACAGTCTGCACAGACACAAAAGGTGAAAACAATGAAGACAGTGTGTGTAACAGGGGCTTCGGGTTACATAGCATCATGGATTGTCAAGTTCTTGCTCCAGCGTGGTTACACTGTCAAGGCATCTGTTCGTGACCTCAGTCAGTATTTCTTCCAAACCCTTTATTTTTTTTCTGTTTTGAATTCAATGTTTTACCATTTTTTTTTTTGCTTTTGTGGTCTGTGAAACTGCAATTGTAGGATATGGGTCGTGACAATCATAAGATACGCAGGTTGGTTTTGGGGGCTCTAATTTTGTGGATTATTGGGATCTTGTGATTATTATTGCTTGATTTTGTTGTGCAATTTCGGTTTTCCTGATGGGGAGAATTTGTTGATGACATTTGTAGATTGAGGATTCTGAATTAACAGGTTTTCATATTCACGTGTGAAGAGAAAGGGCTTTTATGATGATAAGAGAAAGAAGACTAGGTTTAGAAATTTCAGGATTGATGAATAGCATGTGATTTGATGCAATTTTTTTTTTTTTTTGGTGGTTTCCAACTTCAGCTGCCTCCCTCCTCCCTCCCCCAAGCGAAAGAAAATAAATGAATGTATAGGAAGCAATTTATTAAATTCGTAAGGAAGCAATATATCTCTTTTTGTCTCCGTATAGCATCTGCTACTGGCAGCAAGTGTCGTGCATGATGTTAATTACTCTTGACGCAATCAATTTTCCAAAACTATTATGCTTTTCTCGGCCATTTGGTTGTTGAATCTTGTCAATGCTTACTGTCTCTTTCTAATCATGTCAGGGTCATCATCTAGTCCTGTAATTTTATAATATTACAATCCTGTAGAAAGATATATTGCTTCTCAGCTTAGTACTTTATTTTGAGCTTTGTTTTAATTTATCTGAATCATGTAGATGATCCAAAGAAGGTAGGACACTTGCTTGCGCTTGATGGAGCTGAGAGACTTCAGTTGTTCAAAGCTAACCTACTGGAAGAAGGTTCTTTTGATGCTGCAATTCATGGGTGCGATGGCGTTTTTCATACAGCATCTCCTTTCTACCATTCAGTCACTGATCCTCAGGTCCCTTGAACAATTCCTTTTCTCTTATTTGAATATTCACCTCCTTCATTTCAATACTCTTTCTTCGAGGCAAAGGTAAGACACGAAGGCCATAGCTGCTCCTGTATAAGGAGTGAGATATTGTAATGTAGCAGGGGAATCTGCCATTTCGGCTACTACAATGGTGTATTCCATTGTTCCCCTTCCTGGAAAGTAGTTACTACTTGAGCCACAGAAGATGCTTTTTGACCAATTGCTATATAAGCAGTACTATTTAGCTTGTGGATATAGGATTTCTTCTCATGGTTTAACATAAATTCCATTTATATGGTAAAAATTTCTTTCTATCATTCAAATCTTTATATGTCTCTGCATGCTTCGCAGGTTTCTCTTACATAGTAATGATAAATGAGAAAGCTTTAGTGCACTGTTTCTAATTGACTTCATTTGTTGCCTAAAAGAATGTACAAGAAACTGTGGTTGGATTCAACAATTGCTTTAGTAAGTATAAATGGGTTTTAGATAAATAGAAATGTAAAAGAAACTATAGATAGCTCCAATAATTACTTTAGCATATGTTAAATGGTTTTTGATAATCTTTCAGTGGCTTATTAGTAGTTAACTGCTTAGCGTATATGTGACTTTAGTATGTTTGAGCACCCATTTGTGTATGGTTTCTAAGCTTCTTTCTTGTCATTATTTGCAAACTTCAGTAAGTAAGCTGATAGATGCAATATGCAGGTGCTATCAGCTATAAAATAACTGAATCTAGTAATGCAATAGGCTTACCTGCCCAAAAAGAAGAAGTGTTAACATGTGCAGGCAGTTGAGCATTAAATGCTTGCCATTTTGCTTAATTCTTCTGAGGTTTCATTTTTCTTTAGTTTAAAAGATTTGAAAGTTATCTTGGAATCCCTTTACACAGGTTTATGACCATTTTAACATTATAATTCCAGTGACTTACAAGAGTTCAAGATTGATGTTTAGTCTTAAAAATTCTGTAGTCCAACAAAAGCTGGTCAAGTTTTTGCTACAGTAGTATTTTCCTTGTTTTCTTTTACATTTTGTATAGTTCTAGAGTATCTCCAATCTTTGTCTATTTAAACATTTGAAATTACTCATATGTTGCATCTATTGCAGTATGGGTTCATTCTACTCTATGCTCTCTGATGCATAAATTTTTGAGCTAATTCAAATTTTTGTTATGGCTTAGATTGTGTTAACTATTATTGCCAATAATCTCCTTTATTCTACATTTAGGGAAAGAGAAACCACTATCCTACTTATGTTACAAAAGAAAATACTCGAGATGCTTTCCTTCAAATTTTACTAAACAGCATTTACAGTGGTCTAGTTTGTGCAGTCTCTTTGAAACAAGAAAGTAGAAACAGTTGATCCATTGTAGAGAAATGTATGGTATAGATGTTAAAGGTTCTCAGGCTCTTTGAGGGACTCTAAAAAGAGTAGATGGTCTTTCTGTCAACGGCTCAGGGTGCTAAAGTCTTGATGTTCTAAGGGTACAGGTTTTCTGCAAGAGGAATCTTGAATTGAATTAAATCTTATGGTGGAGATCACCTTAGGCTTCGATTGAAACTGTTATCTAATGGGTGTTTGAGATTGGGCTTGCTATTTGATTACAGCATAAAAAAGGAACTCCAAAGCTCTTTCATAACTAATCACCCATAGAGTCTGCAAGAAGGGGTGAAAATGAAAATAAATAGAAGTGCCAGGTTAAAGAAATATTAACATCATATACATATGGATGTTTGAAGAGTTTCTTTCTGGTGGAAACAAGTTTTAAAGTTCTTTTTCTCAAGTTTTTGTTGACTGTATTAATCTGATAGGGTCGTACAGTGAGGTGAAACCAAATATTTGATTTCTGTACAATGTCCAATAACCAATTTACTACTTAGTAACCCAAAAGAAAATCCTCTGTTGGTTGTATTGGCTTTATTGGCACTCCTTATTATAAGTGGTATCAAAATCACGGGCTAACCTCAAAAACTAGAAGAGTAATTGTTGAAATGGTGTAAATCTTACACATCTCCTCATGGAAGCTCAGTAATTTCTTTAAAAGAGCCTCACTGTTGAACCTTTTATTTCGCCCTTCTATTTGACTTATTGAATAACTGAGGAACCCTGAAAACCATGCTTCATGGAAATGAGCAGTATTCAATGAAATTGAAGACAGTGAGTTATATATATATATTTTAAATATGTGTAGTGAATAACTTTTATATTAAGTCCATCTTGCCAAGGTGAGTAATTTTCTATCTCTGTAAGTCACCAAGAGGAATTCTTTTTGGACAGGCTGAATTGATTGATCCTGCTCTAAAAGGCACTCTTAATGTTCTTGGATCATGTGCAAAATCACCATCTGTGAAAAGAGTGGTTTTGACATCCTCTGTAGCTGCAGTTTACTACAATGGCAGGTCTCGTTCTCCTGATGTGGTGGTTGATGAGACTTGGTGGAGTCTTCCTGATTTATGCAAAGAAAACAAGGTCTGTAAATGTTAGTTTCCTTTCTGTCTGAGTTTTATTGCTAAATTTAAATGTTCTTAAATTAACTAAATATCTGCTGTCACATATATTGAAGACCATTGGACTGTGTCCCATAACACTTTTGCTTTACGTACCTTTTGGAGTAAAATATAGATGTGGTTCCAGAATATAATATACTTGTATCGTGAATGCTTAAAAAGGTGCATGTCTTTAAAATGGTGTACATATTTGACATCATTATGCCATTGAAAATTTGTGAACATAAAATCTTCATTATGCATCAACTGCAAAAATTCCATTAATGTAATTGTTACAGGTACTGTTATTTGCTGTATTAGAAGTTGAAATTAGGGCACTATAGAGTGTAGACATTAGAGAATTTATTTGTTTGAAATAGAACATGTATTCAGCTTTTAACTACCATCTACCAAAGGCCTTAGGTTTTCATTGACTTCTGATGGATTTTTTTGAAGACATTTAAGGCCAGTGCCACCTCAATGTTCTTTCTGTCAAAGTTTCAGGATATCTAGTCCACATTTGCATTTGTCCATTTGAACTAGAGATTAGTTCACTGGACTTGCACTTAGTCTATTAACATTTGTAACTTTTGTATAAATATACTGAAAGTTTTTTTTTTGTGAACCTTAAGAATTAAAAGTCTCGAGACAAAACATATTTATGTGAAAGCAGAAGTAGGGTATTTCGAGGAATTTGGTAATTGATGATACTTGAACTATGATGCTTGGCAGTTTTCTGGAACTCTGGAAAACGAAACATGGCCATATGGTTGGAGGAAATATAAAATACCTTCATGTATATATCAGATGGTCTTTCTGCTCCTCGAAAATTGGGAATTGGATGATGTTAAATTTGGGGACAATATGAACTACAATTAATGACCTGAAGAATTTCTTTGAAAATTGAGTAGAATATGATGGCAAACTTTAGAATAGGAAAAATTTGCGGAAAGGGTAAACTTGGAACTAGATAAGCTAAAACCAACTAAAATATTTCAAAACCCCTGTGCCTCATGTCATTAGCTTAGGCTGAGCTGTTGAAATCCAAAAGGTAAAGTTTCTGGATGAAAGCAGTAAACAAATTCAAATTGCATAAGCTAATAGAAATTTCGTACTAATGTTGTAAATCCTACAGCGAGACCCTGAAATAAGTAAAACTAAATGACCCCCATTGGAATCCAAATATGTGCATGATCCTTATCCAATTCTATTGAGGATTTCCATCATTTGATTTTGAGCTTATTATACTTGATAGGGTTATTTTCTCTACTTTAGTGTGCTAATTATGAATAAAAAATGCATACTTAATAAATTCCTTTCGGGAAAATAACTTTTGGTGCTCTCGACAAGCCACTTCTATTATGTTCCGAATTCCTTTTCAGCTGTTATCACGAATGTGATGCCAAACTTTTAGATGCTTGAGATGCCCTCTCTCTCTGTGATAGACACTGGCTCACACGGGGAACTTTTTTTGTGGATGGGGTGTTATTGCCTTCTTTGGCATGAAGGTGATAAAAAAGCAATAGGAATAGTATTTAACAAAAGCTCCATGGCTGTACAGGAACAGAGTTTCGGACAACTTTTGTGGTTGGAGATCTTGTTACTATCTTTCATTGTCGTCTAGTTTTTGAAGTACCTATACGTGTTAGTAGATTAAGGTTAAAATGTAATTGTGCCCCCAAAACTTAGTGTTCCGTCTTTATCAATGTATTTGCCAGACTAGGTGCTGTCTCTATCTGACAGATAATGTAAATAGGATTTTAAATGGATGATGTTTTTCCATCTTTTTTGAATTTCTGGATCTCCTCTGGGGCTATAGTTTGAACAGCTGTGTCATCCTTTAGATAAAAAAACAGACCCTTTCAACTGGTTGCTTTGAAATTCTAAGGAAACGGTTCTTGTTACTAACAGAGGTAAAACAAACAAGAGCAATGGTAGCCTAAAGCCTCTTCATTTTGTCTCTTCTCTAATTATTTTCAGTCATTAGAACTTTTACTGATATACAATTGTAAGAAAATCTGGTTGTCTGCAGTTAAAGAATCATTCTCCTAAATCACTAATTGAGCATCAAGAATGTCCAGGACCATTTGATCACTGTCATTTCTCTAGAATTAATTGTTAGATGCAGGATACTTTTATGTGCAGTTTGTTTCAGTATAGCTGCCTGATGCATGTGACAAGGTTCCTATGGCTTAAATGTGTGGATGAACTTTTAAAAGATTTGGTTGAAAGGAACTGTATCCTGATTAAAGGACTTGTGTTCCTGATCATTAACTAGCTGATATACGTCCTTTTGTGGTGGCCAAATTGATTCCTGTGGTTTTAGTTAGAAGCTGAATATTGCAGCTTTTCAATTGAAGTACTTCAATTAGCAATCAGCAAAATTTATGTTTGTAATAGTTGAAACCACTCATACTCTGGCTTTTGATTTTATGGAATGTAACTTGGAAATCATGGCTATAGTCATGCTATATTGTCCTATGGAACAAGTCTAGCGTGGCTTGAACAGAACTTTAATTGGTGCAATAATTCTGTCCCTTTTGTGTTGGCATGGTGTTGCAGTAGTAAACCTGGAATTAGTCAAGAAAGAAAGCTTTTGTTTGTCGAACGATACTTTTTGGATTGATGCGGAGATTTTAGATTGTTTATAGCTCCCATGATTTTGTTTTCGTGTCCAAATACTATACTAGTAATAGCATCATTTCCCACTGGCATGTTAAAAGTATTCTAGACAAGTGTCATTTCTATCTGCTGTACAAACTCCATTTCAGCATAACCAAAATCAATATTTCCACAAGATTTGGGGACAATGTGCCCGTGGCACTTAAGTAAATTGTCCTTGTGTACATGCCTCTTTTAATTGATATTGTCATAATAAGATCACCGTTGGTTAGCCAGTCTATGAAATGAACATGTATTCTTGTGAATTAACAATCATAGTTAAACATGTTATTCTTTCCTATTGTTTTTCTTCCAGTTATGGTATGTGCTCTCGAAGACATTGGCTGAGGATGCTGCCTGGAAGTTTGTAAAAGAGAAAGGTCTCGACATGGTTACAATAAACCCAGCTATGGTGATTGGGCCTCTATTACAGCCAACACTTAACACCAGTGCTGCTGCGATCTTGAACTTAATAAATGGTATGGATATTCATATTAAACAAAGAGAATTCAATTAATATTTTTGGAGATACTTTGTTTGTTGAATCTATGTTTATTTGTTTTTTGAGGCCATGGTCGTGCATGATGCTCTGTTGACTGTTTTTTGTCTTTTTTTTTTTTGCCTTGGTTCTGCTTTTTGAGGGAAATTGAGTGGACAGGAAGCAATTTAGAGCTGATGTTTTTTGAGCTGGTGAAGCTACTGATGGTGATGAAAATGGTGCATAGACAGATGTTTTTAGAACATGCAAATAAGCATTTATTTTTAAGTTTTTGCCTTTTTGACTCGCACCTTTGACTTTCCATTACTTTATCTATCCTTAGTCATCGACATCGATAGTGTAGACTACATACCTTCTTATATTTCTTTAAAATTAAAGTATGTAAAGAATAGATAAGTGAATTAATGGTAACATGCTCCAAAAGAATTAATAGTAACATTCTGGACAGTAATGATTCATACTCATTTGTGCTTTATCAGAATATTGATTGAGCATTCACTTGTATGCCAAGGTTTATGGTACATCCCATGCTCTGAAAATTTACCGGTCAGGAGTTTAGTACTTACTTATCTAGCTATGACAAATGCATTAGATATATTGTAAAAGGTGGGGACAATGTTAGTCTTTATAGAACTTCTAAGTATCTGATAAAATTGAAATGAACTTGAGAATAAATGAAAAAGGCCGAAAAACCAGTGAGGTGGCCTACCTATGTACTTAGGAGCAACGTGCTATGGAATTTGCCATGTTGCAAAGCTTGTTAGGAGTTCTCTGCCTGTGTCATGAACTTGAGTTTTGCCAAGGTAGACGTCATGGTCATTTGGAGGTTCGCTAGAATTTTATTTGTTTGTGTGTTTGTGTATCTATGATGGTATTTGTATATGTGTATATGCTCCTTTTGTTGATATTTATATATGTTCTTGTTTGCTGGATCAAAACCTCCCAAACATATTCGTTTTTGTGTCTTGCGAAAGCTTTATCCAGTGTGCTTGAAGGGATGTTTACATTGTTTTAAAGTTCCAGGTGCTTTTTTAATCAACTATTGAAGTCTTTGAATTATTACTGCAGTATTCGGTAAATGGCTATGAGGGTAGGAATGGGTACCAAAATTAATGATGCCCGTACATGTTGCTAGGTAGACCACTATAGCAATCACTCAATGGGAATGAAAGTATTAGATCTTTCCCCCTATGACTCCCCACTTATAGCTTGGGTTTTGAATTGATTAACTCTTTGATAGAATGAAACTCATTCCACTTCCAACCAAATATGTAATGGGGAATGACCAACACCATACTAATAGTGAGATTTATGGTTCCAATTCTGATTTCAATTGTGGAGTACAAACCAAACAGCTCATAAGTTGTCAGTAAAGATGTGGTTACGCTCATGGAAAATGATTTTCGTTGTATTTTCCTCTCTTTGCTTGGTTAGATTCATTTATACAAGAAGGAAGAGATGCTGATATGAAACTTGTCTTGTCTGTCATTAGATATTTTGTGTATTGTGATCTTAGACTGATTTTCATGCATTGAGTGTCATTGAATTGTTTATGCAATTTATTTTGATGTCTTAATATTATGGAAATGTTGTTTGTTCATTGTTATTTTCTACATTCAATACAGGTGCAAAAACATTCCCAAATTCAACATTGGGCTGGGTTGATGTCAGAGATGTTGCTAATGCCCATGTACTAGCTTTTGAAAATCCGTCGGCAAGTGGAAGATACTGCCTGGTTGAAAGAGTGGCACATTACTCTGAAGTTGTGAAGATCTTGCATACACTATATCCTTCTGTGAAACTTCCAGAAAAGTAAGTTTAAGCTCTGTATTTAGACTTGATAATGCATATACAAGTAGGGATTTACATCTGCAACATAAATTTATGTCTGGAATGCTTCATGCATGTATGTGCATCAGTAATTTTTCTGTTAGGATTTATTATGATGTGCCACATGGATAAATCATATCTGGAGGCTATTACCTATTAATACCATCTGTTGACGATGGAAGACAGAATAAATATTAAGAAACTCTTGTTGCAGAATACAATTTCCATCATCTGAGTAAAATTAGTTATTGATTAGAGCTTGTATAAAATAGACTGTTCTCTATTATGTTTTAGAAGTTCTGGTCAAGGTTTATGTTGTCGAATTCACAAGATTTTGAAATTTTCCCTATTTGAAATAGGATTAAGTTGCCGAGGAGGCCTTGGTCAAGTGACTAAGGTTGAAACCGTAAGAATTAGAGCACCTGGGTTCAATTATCCCGTAACCCTTCCCTACTTCTTACATGCCGTTCTTCCTTGCTTAAAAAAAATAATAAAATAAAACAAAATATTAAAAAATAGGTTAAGTTACTTCGGGAAAGTTGATACTGACTATATAGTTAATTTAGTTGGTACTTAACTAAGGAATCCTTTTCCTTGTAATAGTGATCTAGTTCTTGGAATCTTTGCTCCACAATTACTAAACCAAGGACAGCCTACTAATCCTGGCAACCTGATTAGGTAGAAAAGTAGATAAAGATGAGAATAGCATTAGTTGTAGAAGATCTGTTATTGAACATAAGGGGATTGTTTGGGGTGGCCAAGAACAGAATGGGTGGCCTTTTGAAGGTTGGCTTTCATCGATTCAAATCAAACCACTGTGTCAATTTTTTGAGATAGTGTACTTCAAATTACAGCTCTTTAAGAATGTTTACCTGAAAGTTTTGACCTTTCTTCATTGCAACAAGACTTTTTACCTTTCCGAATTCTGATCTTCATCTGCTTTTATTTGATTTCATGTCTAAATGGTGAGATCCGTGTATAATATGTGAAGTTATGCAAAAAATTTCTGGTTTTTTCTTTCCCCTTTGCTGCTTTACCAGATCCTGCTGTGAGAAGATCCATTATTTGTACAATCTGTACCTAAAATATCAGGGCTTATATCAAGGCATTCATTTAAGGGTACTGATATTCACGACCCTTCTAACTTCTTGAACACCCTTACTATGTATTTTGGCTGCTATATATGCTTGTCATTTGGCCTTGGAAAAATAAAAAACCGAGTAGGGGTGTCCAGGAATCTATAAAAGGGTATTTGAGTATCAATGAACTTCATTCCAATGTTCTGCTTACTGCAATTCATCTTTTGTTTTCTAATCATGGATGAGTTTTCCTGTCCATCACCTGCTGTTGATGTATTTTTACTCGTCAAACACCAGTAAGGAAGCCAAAATTATCATTTCTATCAGTTTGCTTTTATTAGATTTTTACCATTTTCAACAATATTTATTATTCTTATGGAGCTTCTAATGTTCTTTGGTAAACTAATCTTTGTAGGTGTGCTGACGACAAGCCATTTGTGCCAACGTACCAGGTTTCAAAGGAAAAAGCAAAAAGCTTAGGCCTTGAATTCACGCCCCTTGAGCAAAGCATCAAGGAAACAGTTGAAAGCTTGAAGGAGAAGAACTTTCTGGGCTCTTCTGCTGCACTGTGAATATGATCTCAAACATGATGAGGAACATTTCAGAATTGGTGTCATTGCCTATTGAACATATGTTTTGCAAACTCCTATTTGTACCGGGTCTGTCTGACTGGCATTATCTGCCTCGACAGAGATTTGGGAGAGATCTACCTATGAAACAATAAAGGACTCATCTTTTTGCTATCATGGAAATTTGAACAGGAAATGTCTTTTGCTTTTCCTTGTTCAAATTCAAGGTTAAAGCAATGATGATGAGTAGATTTTGGTGCGTAATCATGTGGCTTACCTCTTTCTCTCTTATTTGGGGTCAGTGTGTTAAATTGCCATTTGATGAGACTTTATAAAATCAAGGAGCAAATTAATGTCACGGTAACAAATTGATAAAAGATTGAAGTTTATGTGCTGAATTATATCCATATTATATGTATATGATCATTAAGAACATTAAGTAGCTCAACTTTATCCATGTCTAAATTGTTCAAGGCTTTGTGAGTTGTGTTCAGGCTCCTTAGCAACCCTGCTAGTGGGGCTTAATTGTTAGGTTAATTACTCGGTAAGCTGGTGAAAATTATGAATCACATGGGATAAAGTGTAAGCAAGGTTTAAAGGACGCTTAAAGTTTTATGCCATTAACATGAAGTCATTTTTACGTAATAATGTATGGATGCGTATGAAGCTTTGACTAATGTGATTGATAACATGTATTGCTGAATGTACTTGTACACAGCTCATATGGTCCATAAAGATAGCCTGAGCCTTGAGGTACTTGCTGAGCAATTAAATTCATTCAGTGGATATTATCTCTGTTTTTGGCAAAGATAAAACGAATGTGAACTAGTAGAGGATAAGCGTAAGGGAGAACTGAGGTAGCATCCGGCTCAAGGAGTTGTGGATATTGGAATTTATATGTTTGTAGAGGCTTAGATTGTTATGATAATACAGTCGGTGCCAAGTCAAACCGTTGGAACAAGTAACTTTAATACCTATGTTTTCAAATTCGGACCGGACCGGCCGGTTTGACCGGTTGAACCAGGAACCGGCCACGTGTCCGGTCCGAATTATTCTAAAAAATCGGATGTATAAAACTCGGTCAAACTTGATCAAAAATTGGATTTGACCAGCAAACCGGATGAACCGGGGTGATATCAAAGCTTTCAGTCCACTAAGAGGAAATTTCGCATTTCAATCAAGGCCGGCTTGCAAGTACTAGATGTGGGAATTCTGGTGGGCCCGATGAAAAGATATAATGGCAGCATTCTTAATTGAACCATACACCGACATGGCATGCGCAGCCGAAACTTTAGCCTCAGTCCTGCCGCCCAATTTTTTTTTTGAAAGGTCAAAGTATTTTCAATATTATGTTTTAGCCCCTAGGTTGTTAAAAATTATTAATTTATCTCAAATATTTCATATTTTATAAATATTATTTTAAAGTTTGGTTTTATTTTTTAATCAAATCTATAATTTTAATTCTAAACTTGTTAATGTTCATTGAATAATATAAATTGCTACTTGATCATTCTAATTTCTTTGTATTTTCTTGTTAAATATATTTGAAATATTAAATATATATGAATATACATTTATTAATATTAACATGTTCTTAAGTATTTTTTATATACAATATTTTAAATTTTAAATAATTTTTATTTATGACGTCATCCGGTTCAACCCCGATCGAACCCGGTCGAACCCATTGACCCCTGAGCTCGACCGAGTCGATGCCCGATCCAAGTTTGAAAACATAGTTTAATACTTTTACTAAGTTGAATACTGCTATGTATGTCTACTTTCAAATTCCAGGCATCTTTTGTACGGTATTTTAGTCAAGATGCTCAATACTACGTTAAACATTAAATCCTAACATCAGATTCTATTTCCTATAACTATGCATAACTAGTAGAAGTCATCTCCTGGGTCGTCAATGTAGACCACCTCATCCTCAAGGTTTGTAAAATAGTGAAAAGAGTGAATTGAGTGACACTATACTCAATAGGCAGCAATTACTCCTTTGTTGGATCATGTAACTATTTATGTTTGTATATAAATCATGTCGCGGCCCATTTTTCGTGATGAAAAAAAAATGTATTTACAAAAGATGTGATTTTATTTAAAAATAAGTGAAAAAAGACCTAGAATGGGACTTTAAAGAATACGACAATTTGGGTCCAAAATTTAGTCTAAAAGGGTTTTATAAAAAAAAAAGGAGCCGTCACTCGGTATTGAGTTTGGGTGTACCAAATTACCCAAAAATATTTTTAACAAAATAAAATAAAATAAAACCCTTTTCGACAACTCTAGGTCTTTGAAAACAAGAAAAAATGAGTTTAGGAGTTATGATTGAAAAAAGAGAAGGCAAAGATTCGATAGACTCAAACCTAGGGGTGGTAATTTTCGACACGACCTTAAAACACGACACGAATCTAACACGAAATTAATGGATTTGGGTTAAGGTTTCGCGGGTTCGGGTCAGAATTGGGTCGAACCCGATGAACCGAAAAGAAAACAGGTCGAATTCCGGTCAACCCGTGGGTGACCCGATATGACCCGATAGCCCGTTTTCAAATTAAAAATAATTTAATAAATATAAAAAATTATTTTATCTAACTAAACTAAGTTATTCTTTTTTTCCAAAGGCATTAATCACTTAATCCTAAATGAATTTATTTAACTTGTGTGAAGTTGAAATTATTATCTTTGGACAAATAATGTATTATATTATTTTTTACTTTTATACTGTTTTAATTTATTTTATATTTGGTTTGGGATCAAATACTTTTACGGTGTTTTAATTTATTTTAGATTTGGTTTGAGATTATTTATTTAAATTTTATTACTTGATTATGTAATTAGTCTTGTGCGAAATTGATTTTATTAGAAATTACAGTGGTAAATTAATAAATTAAAATTAAGTTTCGGGTAATTTTGGGTCGACCCGCCAACCCGCGCACCCGAATTTTTCGGGTTCGGGGTCAGGTTCGGGTTAGCGGGTTTCCTGTTGTATCCGGGTCTCAACCCAACCAATCAATCCAATTTGGACCCGATTGCCACCCCTACTCAAACCTAAGGCATCCTTTCAATCTAGTCCAAACTAGTTGCGAGGTTTAGTTAAAAATTTTTCTACTTTAAGTTTTAAATTTATCACGTTTGCATGTTTCCTACATGGATGTAAATCTAAATTTAGAAAATGTCGGAAGGGACAAATGTCCATCCAAGGATTTAATTGATGCCAATCGCATTAATTGCGAAATCCAAAATAATCCCTTGAAAGGGGGTCAGGAGCATGTACAAATGAAATTCAAAGAAAAGAAAAGACAATTAAATTATATATCTAGATATAAGTCGCCAATGAATAGGGATGCAATATAATGGGTACGGGAGGCAAAACTCGTGACAGAATTTTCTTATACAGAAACTAATGGAACATTTAAACTAAAGAATTATAATTGCCCATTTCCCATGTTCAAAAAATAATTCTCCTAATTTAGACAAGCAAATGAACTAATTTATTTTGCAATTTCTTATATGAGATGCAATCCTAAATGATATGATTAATACATATAGAGGGTAGGGGATAGAGGATAATATAATAGGAAATATCATGCAAATGAGAAAAGATTCTAAAATAAAAATTATGCAAAAAAATGTAATAAATGTCATACAAAAAAATGAATCTAATGCATGAATGATCTAAGGGTCTAGCGTTGGACTAGCCCATTTCTAAAAGCTCTTACTAGCATTGGACTAGCAAGTAGGTGGAAGGAGAAGCCACAACTAGCGTTAGACTAGTGTGGTGACGTCATACATTAATAATACATAGTAAAACAAATAAGGTATAAATTAAAACGAATAAACACATAAGAGCACATAGCATGTAACACGTAAGTATAATATCTAGATGCAAAATTCGTAAGGAAAGCGGATAAAGCATATAACACAAAAATCACATAAACACACAAAACTTACCTATTATAACGGGGAATCTAAGTACAATGTAAAATGGGGAAATATAAAAAAAATAAACCTATCTATTTTATCTATTACAATAGGAGACCTAATTACAATCTAAAGTGGGAAAAATATGATAAAATAAACCTATTTATCCTATCTATTACATTGGTCTATCTAATTACAATTTTTTGTAAAAATATTACCTATCTATTACATCTTGAGGTATTTAAACACCTCTCAAATAATTATAAAATTAACTAAACAAACATAAGAAAATTTGAATGAACATTTGAATCAAATAAATAACAAAGCATATAAAAATATATAAACACATAGGAGCACATAATTGACATTTAAATAATAATAGGGATACCTCCATTTGAAGTGGTGACTAAATGGAGTCAAACTGCCCTATTTATATTCAAAATGAACAAAAGAATCATGGCACCAATTTAATTAAAAATAATAATAATGATGATAAAAATACTAAATTAACATTAATATGTTAAACATAAAGAAATTTAAGAACATCCAAAAAATTACAAGTTAAATATATTCAAAAGTGACATAATTAGCTATTAAAGAAAAGAAACAATTATAATAGAGAGAGTAAAAAATTCACTACGGACTGAACTGCAAAAAATCAAAAAACTTTTGAGGTAAAAATATAATTTTTCTAAAATTCATGGGTTAAAATCAAATAAAAGATAAAGTTTAGGGACCAAATACAATTAATTTAAGGGCATAAGTGAAAGAAATTTAAAATTTTTTGGGCCACAATAAAATTACTCAAAAGATGAGGGACTAAATTGAAAATTTCGGTTTTTGATTTGTAAGAAAAGGGTTTTGGGCCATTTTATTTTTATTTGTTTGGGCCGAAGCCATCCAGCCCAAAAGAAAAATGTGGGCTATCTTCATGAAAAATAAACATAAGCCCAGATGAAAAGCCCTAAAAACAAAACTCTAGTCCAGTCGAAATTAAAGTGAGAAGCCCATCAAAAAATGAAAAAATTAGCCCAATCTATTTTCCTTCCTTTTCTTTTCTTTCCTTTCTTTTCTTTCTTTTCTTCTTCTTCCCTCTTCTTCTCTCCGATGAAAGCTGAAGATTCCTTCCTGCTGGCGGTTATGGCCACAGTCAGCGGCGCCACCACCGGCAAATTTTCTGATCACAAAATTTTTTCAAAATACACTCTCAACTCGATTTTTTGCGTAGAATCTATTTTTGGACTTCGTTTTTACAAAAAAATGAATCGAAAGTGGCGAAAATAGCAAGAAGACAGCCCAGTTTTTATTTTTTAAAAAACTATATCCTTCACCAAAAATCATAAAAATTATACTACGACACTCCTTATAACTTCTACAATACAAGTATAATTTTAATTTGACAAGAAAGCAACATCAAAAGTCTGAATTAAA